GCGTTCCGAGGGGGCCGCGTCTCCTAAGGGCGTCCCCCTCTCTCCTTCGCAGACGCTCACCGGGACTTCGCGCCGCGCCCGCTCTCCGGGTACATGCCCGAGGAGATCTGGAGGAAGGCTGGTGAGTGCGGGGCGGGCAGCAGCAGGGGCTCTGCCCCAGCTCCCCTCGTTGGGATGCCTGCGGCGCAGGAGGAATTGGGGGTGGTTTTGCGGGAAGGGCGATGCCGGGGCACCGGCACACCCCGGCCACGCTCGGCTGCTGCCTTCCAGAAGAAGCCGTGAACGAGGTGAAGCGCCAGGCCATGTCCGAGCTGCAGAAGGCCGTGTCGGACGCCGAGCGGAAAGCCCACGAGCTGATCACGACGGAGCGCGCCAAGATGGAGCGGGCCTTGGCCGAGGCCAAGCGCCAGGCGTCCGAGGATGCCCTCACCGTCATCAATCAGCAGGAGGACTCGAGCGAGGTGGGGACCCTGGGGGACGCCTTGGTGGCAGCGCTGGTGTCTGGGAGGGTGGGAACGGGAGGAGAGGGGAATTCCTGCACCGAGGTGGGGATGCGGGGTGTGGGCAGTGATGGGGTGCGTGTCCGGGATGTGGATGCAGTCTGGGATGGTGTCCGTGGTCTGGGATTAGGGGGGACCTGTTTCAGGATAGGGGAGCACAATCCAGAATGGGTGTGCCTGGTCCAATATGGAAATACACAGTCTGGCACGGGTGTAGATGTTCTGGGATGGACGTGCACGGTCTGGGATGGATGTACACACTCTGGGATGTTGGACATGGTCCAGGACAGGGGTACACGTTCTGGGATGGATGTTCCCATTCTGGGATGGACGTGCACATTCTGGGATGGACGTGCACGTTTTGGGATGGATGTTCCCATTCTGGGATGGACGTGCACATTCTGGGATGGATGTTCCCATTCTGGGATGGACGTGCACGTTCTGGGATGGACGTGCACATTCTGGGATGGACGTGCACGGTCTGGGATGGATGTGCACATTCTGGGATGGACGTGCACGGTCTGGGATGGATGTTCCCGGTCTGGAATGATGGAGTGCGTGGTGGCCCCAGTGATGATGGTGGTCCCGGCTGAGGGTGCCCAGCCTGGCCTGGGGGTGCACATTCCAGAACTGAGGCCGTGTTCCCCGTTCCCGCAGAGCTGCTGGAACTGCGGGCGGAAAGCGAGCGAGACGTGCAGCGGCTGCAACACCGCGCGCTACTGCGGCTCCTTCTGCCAGCACAAGGATTGGGAGAAGCACCACCAC